CGTGTATTTAGATTTTGGATTTTGGGCCCTGATTTTAAATTGGTCCACATTGAGGTCCTAAGAGTTCAAAATTAAACATTGTTTGATTTCCTCAAAATTGAATTACATGTATTAGGGTTTCTTTTAAATGCTGAATCTCATCGTTTATTTAGATTTTTAATTGTGGGCCCGTTTTCACTGTGTTCCACATTAATGTCAAAATGGTCAAAAATTATACTTCGTTTGATTTCAATAAAAATTGAAATCTTGGGGTTCTTTGATATGCTGAATCTTACCGTGTATTTAGATTTTTAAGTGAGGGCTCCGTTTTCAAATTGGTCCACACTAAGGTCCAAAGGGTCCAAAATTATACTTCGTTAGGTTTCAATAAAAATTAATGTCTTGGGGTTCTTTGGTATGTTGAATCTAACCGTGTATCTATATTTTTGATTTTGGGCCCGGTTGTTCAATTGGTCCACATTAAGGTCCAAAGGGCCCAAATTTACACTTAGTTTAAATTTAACAAAAATTGAATTCTTGGGGTTTTGATCTTATGAATCTAAACATGTATTTATATTTTTTTAGCCCAGTTTTCAAGTTGGTCCAAATCGGTGTCCAAAATTAAACTTTTTTTTGTTTGATTTCAACCAAAATTGAATATATGGGGTTTCTATGATATGTTGAATCTAACCATTTATTTGATTTTGTATTTTGGTTCCAGTTATCGAATTGGTCCGCATTGAAGTCCAAAGGGTCCAAAATTAAACTTTAATTGATTTCATCAAAAATTTAATTTTTGGGGTTCTTTGATATGCTGAATCTAACCATGGATTTAGATTTTGGATATTGGAATATAATAGGTAAATGTCAAATTTCAAATGTTTAAGTTCTTAGACCACATTCATTCTTTGTCAGAAACCTATGCTGTGTCAAATACTAATCACAATCCAAATTCAGAGCCGTATCAAGCTGGAATATTGTGTTGATACTTGCCCCAACTGTTCATGGTTCGACCTCTGCGATCAAGCTGTGCCCTGCGGAGCATTTTATTCATTCATAATGTACATTGATTAATGTACAAAACAATAAACGACAAAACAAATATGATACATACAGCATCAAATAACAACCATTGAATTACAGGCTCCTAACTTTGGACAGGGACATACGAAAGTTGGCGGGATTTGTGGATGCCCAACCCTCCCCTAACTGCCTGGGACAGTGGTGTAACAGCACAACACAAGAACAAACATTGAACTTTAGTTGAACAAGGCTTGACTCATCAGATCGACACAAAGCACACAATATTGTTAAACTTGGGAGAATTTAATTTGCAAAAGTGCATACAAATTGCATTTGCAAATAAACTCGAAGAAAGTGTTTATCTTTAATGTTTATATGCTATTATGCGAGAAAAACCTGCACAATCTCAACTTCTTTTTCCCCTGAAAATCTGACAAATTCGTTCTTTTAGTATATGATTTAAATGTGTGAAATTTACCAATTACTTCATTCAATTTACTTTATCAGTATACTGTTACAGGAAAAGTTATATTCGTGATTAATGAATGTCCTCGGTCACTTTAAGAAAATTAGATCAGTAATGATGGTCTGTTACTGAAAATTACAGGACCTTCATTTTGGTTGTGAAAAATAATTATTATGGGTGCTGTTGTATTAAATATGAATGTTTTCATTTTGTAAGGATTATACAGGGGGAAAGCATTGTTATCTAAATAGAAAGAAAACTAAATGACAGAATTATGAAATAAATTGTGAGAAGATAGCTCTTGTATAAAATGATCTTATATTTTTTTCAAATGGCTGACTGTACTTACATTTTTTTACTGTGCATTCATTTACATTTTTTTTTCACTCTGCATTCATTTATGAAATCAACTACCTGAATTATCTCATCTTATAATGCAACGATTCAAAAAATTTTGAATCATTAAAAAAAAAAACTAATGGTAAAGACAATCAAAATTAAAAAGATGAAATCACATAATGTTTTTCTTCCTTATACAAATAAATGTACCCTGTTCCATGTCGGGGCTGAGCCTGCAATCAGTGATTTTCGTTGGTCGTCTGACATATTTGTTTCGTTCATTGTTTGGTTAAAAACCTGGTGATAAGTTTTCTCGTTGAATTGTTTGACTTTTGTGCTAACATCAAAGTCATTTCGACTCTGTCTGATATCAATCTCATTGGCAATCATATCACGTTTCTTTATTTTTATATTCACGCCCCAAAATGGATGGCAAAATACACCTTTACTTCTTTAATAACGTCAGTACATACACAAAATTAACGCGAAAATAACGTTTACTTAACATGCTTTACGCTTTTTTGTTTGACTAGAAAGTATATACGCAAGTATGGTCAACATCAAATAAGAGCCAAATTTGTGCTCTCTGCGCAATCTAATTCAAATATAGTTCTGTGATTTTGTTATACTCATATACCTATACGAGCACGTGAGTTAATATGGATCAGAATTTTAATCAGATTGGCACTTTGCGCTTAAGGGCATACGATACAGTTTTGATCCCATGGTGATTTTTTGACGAAAGTTTGCATACAAGCTATTTTTTATCTGGTCAATTCAAATATATAATAAAAAATATACCTTCATGTGCTACTTTCAGAGATAAATGGGGTCGAAAATTTAGACAATTACTGGAAATTTCGGTTTCTTGGACATTTCTATCCTTTGGAAAGACATACCTAACTTTTTTTGTTTTAAAAGATAAAGGCAAGCAGACTTTTGTAAATACATCTGTGATATCTTCTCTACATAAGTGTGTTTTGAATTTGTTTAATACTTCTTTGGAAATCCTTCATTTTTATCATTCATGGTTTTAGTCAAAAACGTCATTTTTTGTTGTATATTTATCTTATTTAAAAACAATTCATCGGTGATTTGTTTATAAAAATTGGCGCAAGTAATCTTCATACGTAATCAAGCCAAATGTCATGTTTAAAAAGAGGGGTCCATTCACTCATTTTCAAGATAAATCAGTCTGAATAATAAAAATCAGTCGAAAAATGCATTTGAAATGTTTCAACCAATAAGGAAAGTGAGGGGTTCCAAATCAACCAAAGGCTACGAATGAGTCGGAAATGACAATGAAGTTGTGAATGACGGTCGACACATGGAGACATATAGGCCACACCCAGCAGGCAGGTTGCAGTCTGGCCTTGAAGAAAGTATTCAGTATATCAGTTCGGCGAAACAGACATTCCGGTCAGATATGGGATTCACATGCAACCCCCCAAAAAAAATTACGCCCGTTTTTTATTCATCATGTTCATTTAATGCTAAATAATTTTGTTGAAAATATTTTTTTCTAATAGCAAAAAAAGTGGACAAGATTATTGTTTTCAATCCAGATACGGCCAGAATTTTTGTTTAAGGCAAAAATCAGGGTCAGAATCAAATCAAATGGTCTGTACCATAGACTTTAAATCTATATCTAGAGCTTACTGACTGGGGATCACTATTCAGCAATGTTATTAATGGGCTGTGGCGTGTGGGGTTAAACATGTTTTCGTAGGTAAATAATATTGCTGTGGAACTTTTTTTTTCATGAGAGTGTAATAGAGTATTACTTTCTGTTGGGTGGAATTGTGAAATAGAAGTCAATACGTTCTTGCTCAATACTTTGTCGCTTTGAAGGCGTCATGCTTGTCATCCTCAGCCTAAGCAATGTGTTACTGTAATTTGAATTTCACAATGACTGAGTGACGTTTTTTTTCGACGTACTGGTCAACTCCACCGTAGCGAATCGCATGACTTTGACATAATCAATAATATATTACAGTAAATACGAGCGAAAAATATATTTATAAGTAAAGAATTGTCGCATAAAAATTAAATACACGGGATATGGCAAAGTTCGCGAAGTCTAGTCTGATTAATCATTTTACAAAAAAAAAAGTGCAAGCAAAAGGGGGGGCGTACGCCCTCTACGCCCCCCTCTGGATCCGCCACTGAAAGGTGCAGGAAAATGAAATCCCCCCCTCTTTCAACCGCTGGACTTGGGGACTGCATGGATATACAGATGTGGATAGTATACAGATAATACAGTTCATTTATAATACAACGTACATATATATTGGTGCTTACGGTAATATAATTTGTTAAAAAATTCTTGGAATAGGAAAAAAGTGCAATGATTAGAATTTTTAACCTGTTACAGAGTCTATGATTTCAACATGACTGGAAAAGACATAATTTATATCACTATTATACACAGCTTAAACATAGTTTATTGTTCCGTGCCAGTAACGGGCAACATACTTCAAGGTGAATTCGCAGCTAAACAGGTTATCAATGCAATACAATATGTGTTTCTTCCAATTAAGGTCCATCAGTGGGCAATGACAAAGATAACGTTGAATCATAATTCACGAAGAAGTGTGGATAGTAAAATGGGGGTTGTCTCAGAGTTGGTAAAATTACTCGAAACTAGGTGAGACATGCGCAGTAGTGATAGATATGTAGTATGAATATAGAAAATTGAATATTTTAATCAACAAAGAAAAAATCCGAAAAAAATATCTGTATCATATACCCAAGCGCCTGTGTTAAAAACACAAACGGAATAAGTAATCAGGATAATTTCCTTATTTTTTTTAATTGATCCTGAGATTTGTAAAGTAATATCAGTTTCATCGAAACTTTGAAAATTACATTGTAAACAGCAACAGATAAAGAGTTTAATCATTGATAAATATGCTTCAAACATTAAAGAGGGTGCTCTCATACACGTCCGCGTTCGCGTCTAAATTCAAACCCAGAAGAATTTTAGTGAACGGGATTATTTCCTTTTTTTCATTTATGAAAAAAGATTTTAAATAAGGTTATTTATTCAGATTTTCCGAAATTTATCAATGCAGTAAATATTATCGATTAAATCTCAAGTCGGTCGAAGAAATTTGCCGACGAACTGTCTTTGCAGTGACTATCCAACTGACACCTGATACCGGAACCGGATATCTAATTTGTTTACAATGGCCGAGACGAATGAAGACGAAAATCAGAAACCTGTCATTAAAACAGAAGCTGTTGACAATGAAACAACAGACAGTGCTTCAAATTATGCTTTCCAAACAGAAAATCAGTTCAACCCATACAATGTTAACATGGAACAATGGTTAATGGAAAAATTATACCGTCAGAACGAAATGTATCTAAGAAGTCTGAGCGCTGCTGCAGCGGCAGCAACAGCATCAGTGTCGACACCTACTTCTACGTCGTCACCATCGCCATCATATACTTCAGAACCACAAACTAACGATACTTCATTAAATGGAACATCGGTTCCACAAGAACATGAAAAAACATCAGAAGATATTCGAGGTGCAAACTCATCAATTTTGCAAATCTTGTCAACTCCCCCAACATATGCAGCTGCAACTCTAGCCATGGATGCTGCAGACAAGAAAAGAAAAGAGTTGTCATTGAAACAAAAGGTTGATATGATACAATCAAGCAATGGGAAAAGCCAGAGACAGCTAGCTGATGAATTCAATGTGTGTAAAAGTCAGGTCCACAATATCATGAAACGAAAAGATGAAATATTAGAGACATTTGAATATTCAACACCATCAAATAGAAAAAGACGCTTTATAAGGACAGAAAATGAAGAAATCAACATATTGACACTGCAATACTATTTGAAAATGAAAGAAATGGAAATAAATGTGACAGGTTCAATGCTACAAAGAAAGGCTAGGGAAGTTGCTCAACAGTTGGGTAGAACTGAGTTTAAAGCATCAAATGGGTGGCTTGAAAGTTTTCGAAAAAGACACAAAATTGGATCCTGTTATTCTGGGAATAATAGTCCACATGGTTCAGAAAGACTGCCTTCATTTCCCAGCTTTGCAAATATAATTAAAAGACATGGAAATGCAGAGGAAAGTCCTTCGTCAACACAGCAGGGTAATGAAGCAAGTCCAGAAACAGAGCAACCACCAGTTCATGTAAATGAATCAACAGAACAACAACCACAACATCAAGCACATCATCAACATATTCACATGAATGGTTTCTCACCTCATACAGTTGCATTTGTATGTTTATAATTATGGGAATACTCCAATAGGTCTACCAGTGGGGACAAGCACAGAAAAAAAACCATGAGGATTAAAGAAATATAATACCTTTGTACATGTATAGTTAACAGTACTGTTTTCAAGGTCATCAATTCACAAACTGATCATGAAATTGTACATTAGTTATCTTTGTCTGTCTATCAAATATTTCAGTCTAAGTCTCCCCTGACTAAGAAAATGTTTAGGATGAATACATGTACATGTACAAAAAATGTATACTTATAATTAGCATTCATTACAAAATTTTGTATTGATGTTATTGAGCTTTTTAAAAAAAAAATATGTGATAGCCTACAAGGTTATCATCTACTGTGAGAGATGACAGCCCACCAGATACTTTATTCAGTTTTGAGTCAACCTGTCTTTGTTTTTCCTGTGTAAGCAGCAAAGAATGCCAGTACCACAGTTTGAAGTCTTTTGTTAGACTTTTCTTTCTATTTATACAAAAATTATATTCATATAAACCCCAAAAAATCCTATATGTTGTTCCAAAGTGCAACTACCAAATATTTAGGTCAAGAAAAAATATGTGTGTTTAGGGTTTCCTTCCTATATATTGTAGGGACAGTAAATAGGTCAGGATATTTTTATTTCATTTTAGTCATAATTGGGAAATATTTCACCCAATCCAGTTCAGGCTTTACTGGACCACTAATGATTGCTCAATACAGTTATAAAACACAGAGGTACATATGATATACAATTTATTAGATAAAACTTTTGTTGTTGTAGGCATATCGTATAGAGACTGATAGTTTTGGTCAGATAGAAGTTCCATCAAGTAAATACTATGGTGCTAACACTGCCAGATCTGTGCTCAATTTTGACATTGGTGGACCTTCAGAAAGAATGCCAGTAAGCCTAGTATTTATTATAATGCATGTATTAGAAAGATTATCGGGTTACTAATAGGACATTTTTTTATAATGTTTGCCTTATTATAGAGAGGTGTTATAAATTAACTTCATATACAATGTACATGTGCAGTATAAATTTTTAGACATAAGAAAACAACGCACATACATGTAGACAAAAAGAAGACAATAAAGAATTTTATTACACATATATATAGTATCATTGAAAAGTGCTGAATGGAAATTAAATTTTAAACCTACATACACAATGTATGTATTTCATTTATTAATTTCAACACACATACTTGCAGATTCCTGTAATAAGAGCTCTAGGAATATTAAAAAGATGCTCCGCCGAAGTAAACCAGGAGTATGGTTTAGATCCTTCCATAGCTAATCTTGTTATACAGGCAGCTGATGAAGTAAGTTTTTGCATTGTGTAAGGTGACAAGACACAAAAACCAAAATTGAAAATATTGCAACATCTTTAAGCACACCTCAATTCTTTCCAGATTTTTATAAAACTTATACTATAGGTTAATATTAGCAATATCTCGGACAAGTTTTATAATGGTGGCTGAACGACTATTTTTATACGCCCGTTTAGGGGACGTATTATGGTATACCGTTGTCTCTCTGTCCGTCCGTCTGTCCGTCGTCAACATGTCAGACATTAACTCAAAAATGCTTTAACCAATTTGCATAAAACTTTGTTGAATTGTTAATATCTATTGACGTGAGCTCCCTTTCGTTTTTTATAAAATTTAGATTTGACGTTTCCGAGTTATGGTGTTTTATTCATTAAAAAAAGGGGGATTTTCCAGTTTTCGGACAATAAGTCAAGAATGCTTTCACCAACTTGCAAGAAATTGTGGTGAATTGTTTATATCTATTGACATGAGCTCCCTTTCGATTTTTATAAATTTTAGATTTTACCTTTCTGAGTTATGGGGTTTTATTCATTAAAAAAAGGGGTGATTTTCCAGTTTTCGGACAATAACTCAAAAATGCTGTCATCAATTCTCAATTATTTGGTGAATTGTTTATATCTATTGATGTAAGCTCCCTTTTTATTTTCATAAATTTCTAATATGACATTGAGAATTAATTGAACTTTATTTGTTTATAGTCTGACAACAGATTTACTAAGTATTGCACAACAGCAAGAAATCTTAAATTGAATATAAATTCAATTCATATAACCAATTTCAAGTTCTTTGACTACATTTATTCAGAAGCCTATAATATGTCAAATATTTAATTACAATCCAAATTCAGACCTGAATCAAGCTTGAATATTGTGTCCATTTTTGCCCCAACTGTTCAGGTTTGGACCTCTGCGGGCGTATCTAGCTGCGCTCAGCGAAGCAGTTTATTGAAAGAGTTATGCCCCTTGGAAATATTAAATTTATGGAAAATGGCCTCGTTAGCACTCTCACGGGTACAATTCTTGCCAGCTTTTATAAAACTTATACTATAGGTTAATATCAGCAATATCTCAGACAAGTTCTATAATGGTGGCCGTTCGACTTTTTTTAAAAGAGTTATGCCCCTTGGAAATATTAAATCTATGGAAAATGGCCTCGTTAGCGCTCTCACAGGTTCAATTCTTGCCTGATTTTTATTAAACTTATACTATAGGTTAATATCAGCAATATCTTGGACAACTTCTATAATGGTGTATGCTCGACTTTTTTTAAAAGAGTTATGCACCTTGGAAATATAAAATATGTGCAACGCCGTGGACATTGGAACTCTGTTCTTTTATCTATTTGTAGGTGATAGAAGGTAAACTAGATGAACACTTTCCTTTGGTTGTGTGGCAGACTGGATCTGGTACCCAGTCCAATATGAATGTGAATGAAGTAATAAGTAATAGAGCTATAGAGATAGCAGGTGGTCAGATGGGATCCAAGAAACCAGTTCATCCTAATGATCATGTAAACATGAGCCAAGTAAGTTGTGATATGAAAAATATCTTATTTCTGGGAACATCTTGTTTTGTGTAATTAACATTAGAGTGTAACCTTAACCATCATGTGCTGAGGTGAAGCTAAACATCAGTTAGTCAATCAGATTTAATTGTTTGTGTTAATGTTTTGTCTCATGGTACACTCTTAATGAGTCTTAGCTGCCTCAGTAAAATATGGTAATCTTTGTATGGATAACAGGACTTGTGGGATATATACTATTACTCAATTTTAATATACTAATGAGACAGCTATCCCACAATTAGAAAAGACACGATCTTCAACATTAAAACAAGTGTAGATCAAACCTCAAAATTGCCGAAGTCCATTCTAAGTTTCTAACAAATTTTTGGTCGAATATGGTATCACAGTCGTCATCCGAAGACATTTGGTTTCCGGACAATAACTTTAGTAAATGTAAATAGAAATCCATGAAATTTAAACACAAGGTTTATAACCACAAAAGGAAGGTTGGGATAGATTTTGGGGGTTATAGTCTTAACAGTTAAGGAAGTAGGGGCCAAAAAGGGGCCTAAATAAGCATTTTTCTAGTTTCCAGACAATTACTTGTGGAAAGGTGTATGGATCTCTCTGAAATTATACCACAAGTTTCCATACCACAAAGGGATGGTTAGGATTGGCTTTGGGGGGTTATGGCTCAAACCGTTTAGGAATTTGGGGCAAAAAAGGGGGAAAAACAAGGGTTTCCTGGTTAATGGACAATTAAAAAATAGTACAATGTTATGTTTGGATTACCACCCTTACACTGCTTTTAAATTATGTATAAAGAAATGTTGTATTGTCTTGAGGTGATTAGCTGTCAATTTACTATTAGAAGTTACTATTTAAAAATTCTGATTAAGGAATATTAATTTTAGCCATGATTATGTATGTCATTTTCTATTTTAAGACTTTTATGATGTATTTAAATGGGTAATTATGGTTGCAAAAAAAAGGGGGGGGGGTGTTAAATTCCTTTTTTTTTGGGGGGGGGGTCAATTCACAACAGCATTGTGTATTGCACAAAAGCAAAAATTGAATATAAATTTAAATCATATAACCAATTCTAATAAGTTCTTTGACAGAAACCTATTATGTGTCAAATATTTAATTACAATCCAAATTCAGACCTGTATCAAGCGTGAATATTGTGTCCATTTTTGCCCCAACCGTTCAGGGTTGGACCTCTGCGGCCGTATCCAGCTGCGCTCGGCGAAGCAATTTATTGATGAATGAATTTAACAAAGACTATTAATGGCAAATTCTTTAAAGGGCATACAGTGTTCTCCCCAGGATTTTTGGATAGCACCAGGGTAACGCGTGTGGACTGCTTGGTGAAATGATTCATACAATCAGTTGTGTCGCAGGCGACACGTCTTCATGTTGCTTAGCTATATTTCTAGTAACTGTAGTTTTTATGTCTCCTGTTTTGTTTTAATGCTGTGGTACTGTGTTATGTAGACATTGAAAATTATTGGTAAAAAAGAAGTAAATCAATAAACAGTTTGACATGTATACTTTAATATTTTTTAAAAATAAATAAAACATGATACATTACAAAATATTCATCTAAATTTAAAGTTATTAAATCTTTTATAAAATCAATGATCAATAAGAATAAAATATCATTCAAAAGAGAACAAAAATGTTCAATTTAAAAAACTTTCTTATTTCTAGAATGAAAGATGTTGTATTGTAAAAGGATTTCTGTCATAAGGAGATATAAAATTAACAAGAATAAATATTGTATTATTATTTGAACCAGTTTCTATCTTAAATTTTAATAAAAAGAAATTTTTCATAAATTTAAAAACATTTTGCCTTAGATTTCATGTAAATATTAGCATATATCTAAAAATGTAACCGCACTTACTATGAGTCAATTGTATTTTCGTTTAAAAATCAATGAAATAATGAGACCACCTTCAACAAATTCTTTGTTTGATGTTGCCTACCCATGCTTTGTAGAGTTGGGTAGGTAGGTAGGGATTTTTTTATTTTGACCAACAATTTGGCTGCATGTTTTAGACAAGAAAACAATGTAAGAGCATATATAAAACCTTTTTGAAATGAGTTGTGTCAGAAATTTTCTTCGGGTAGCTGCCTTTTAGTTTAGTAGGCAACAATGAATTCTAATTTTATTTTTGACCTGAAAAAAATCTTTTTAAATTTGTGAAATTTAGAGCAAAGACCACACATGTGTGGAAATACATTCAAACGCTAATGAAAATGAATTAATTTGAAACTCAGATGGACAAGTGTTGAAAAAATAGAGCAGAAAAGGATAAAGGACATATAAATAAATAAAGGTTAAAATGAGGTATAAATAAAGACTGTAAACATCAATATGTATGTACAACTACACGGTTAAAACACATCTGGGATTTTCCTTTATTTCAGAGTTCAAATGATGCCTTTCCAACAGCAATGCATATAGCTGTTTGTTTAGAAGTTCATACAAGGTTGTTACCCAGTCTTCAAGTTCTTAAGAATACTATGTTAGCTAAAAGCGAGGAGTTCAAAGACATTGTCAAGATAGGAAGAACACATTGTCAGGTAAGATTACAAGACTTTGCCCATGCATCTTGCCCAATGGCAGTTTGTTTAATTAATGACAGGTAATTTGTCTAGAGATTATCAATATTGTTCATTCTGTTATCATATTTGATCAAGTTTTAGAAATGATTAAGTAGCAAAATTAAAAAATGGTTGATTCTTTTGGTTATTGATGTCCATTTTCATCATTTTTTTCAATCTTTTATGTGTCATTGTCAAAAATAGTATGTGTGGTAAGGGCCCTATTTATCTCCTAATGCTTAAGTACATTATTTAAAGTTGATGCATAAACATGTGAGTAAGTCAATTAGAATAATTTTTTTTGAGGCCAAAACATAGAGATTTTGGTGAAATATGACAAATACTGATGGATTTCAACCACATTTAGTCCTAGGAAACAAGAGTTCAGGGCTCAACAAACTTAATATTCAACTCAAAAGGGATATTTGTTATAAAAATAAAATTCTTTTTATCATCACATATGCTACATGTTTCAGGGCATTAAAACCATTAGCCTGTTTTCATTGCATTTATGCTAATTTGGACATTATAAAAAGATACATAAATCACCCTACCCACCTTTCCCTGAGACATACTTCCTACTGGTCATTATTTTAGCTTTGACAAATAATGGCCGTAGCGGAGGGGGCATTAAGTTTAACACTTGTCCGTCTGTACGTACGTACTTCCCAACATTGCTTTTCGTTCTCTAACTTGAGTTTGCCTCAACCAAATGTTATGAAACTTATACACAATGCTTATTACCACAAAACACAGATCGAGTTTGAATTTTTGTGGTGTCACTTTAACCGTTCTAGAGTTATGCCCCTTTATAAATGGAAAATTTACAAAATTTTTAGTTTCCGTTCTCTAACTTAAGTTTGACTCAACCAAATGTTATGAAACTTATACACAATGCTAATTACCACAAAACACAGATCAAGTTTTAATTTTGGTGGCGTCACTTAAACTGTTCTAGAGTTATGCCCCTTTATAATCGGAAAAATTGCAAAATGTTTAGTTTCCGTTCTCTAACTTAAGTTTGCCTCAACCAAATGTTATGAAACCTATACACAACGCTTATTAACACCAAATACAGATCAAGTTTGAATTCTGGTGTCGTCACTTTAACCGTTCTAAATTTATGCCCCTTTATAAATGGAAAAATTGCAAAATTTTTAGTTTCCGTTCTCTAACTTAAGTTTGCCTCAACCAAATGTTATGAAACTTATACACAATGCTTATTACCACAAAATACAGACCAAGATTGAATCTTGGTAGCGTCACTCTTACCGTTCTAGAGTTATGTTCCTTCATAAATGGAAAAATTGCAAAATTTTTAGTTTCCGTTCTCTAACTTAAGTTTGCCTCAACCAAATTTTATGAAACATATACACAATACTTATTACCACAAAATAAAGATCAAGTTTGAATTTTGGTGGGGTCACTTTAACCATTCTTGAGTTATGCCCCTTTATAAATGGAAAAAATGCAAAATTTTTAGTTTCCATTCTCTAACTAAAGTAACCTCAACCAAATGTTATGAAACCTATACACAATGCTTTTTACCACAAAACACAGATCAAGTTGAAATTTGGTAGCGTCACTTTAATCATTATCGAGTTATGCCCCTTTAGAAATCAAAAATTGCTAAATTTTTAGTTTCCGTTCTGTAACTTAAGTTTGCCCCAACCAAACATTATGAAACCTATACACAATACATATTACCTTTAAACTCAGATCAAGTACAAATTTGGGTAGCGTCACTTGTATCGTTCTTGAGTTATGTTCCTTTATAATATTGTATGCAAGTGGGGGCATCATCTGTGTCCATGGGGACACATTCTCCATTTATTTTTAATTTCATCTACTGTAGATACTTCACACTCAAATCTAAATATTACTTAATTTTAGAAGATGTGTTTGTCTAAATGGACACTGGTTAAATGTGACAGTGATGTACATTTTTTGCAACTCTCAAAATAAACATTTGCAGAATTAATTTATATTGTGATTATTTATAGGATGCTACACCACTGACTTTAGGACAGGAGTTTAGTGCTTACGTTGTACAGATAGATTACGGTATACAGAGAGTCAGTAATACACTACCAAGACTGTATGAACTGGCTGCAGGTGAGTTGTCTACCTTAGTGAAGTCAGCACATTTTACAGCTTTATTTCTTTTATGGATGAAAAATGTTTTAAAAGGTGAGAATACTTGTTTTATAAACCCTTTGATGCTAATGTTATAAATTAAGCAAATAATACTATTTTTCATGGTGTATGTCTGCTCTTGTGTTTTTTTTGTTGAAAAATTGTCTCTTTAGCAGTTAGTGGATGGTAGTTCTGAAACAATTGCAGACAGCACATGATATATCTGTATTATAAACCCAATGATTATAAGTTATATTCATTGTATTCTAAATTAGTAGTTTTGACAAATATTAAGCATAAGTATATGAAGTGTCTTTTTTTGTGTTTTTATTTTTTTTTTAGTACAGTTGGACAATTTTTCACAATTTGAGCATACATTACTGTTTTAAAGTTTAATATTTAATCCAATGAAGGTAACCATGCTTTTATTTGACTCATTATAAGATCAATGATTCAAATTAAAAAAAAAAAAAAATCATAGATTATTTATACATTTAACATGAACAAAGTTGATTATGCATCTTTGTGCATTCAATATACTTTAAAAAAAAGCTCACTTTACCTGCAATGAAATTAATAATTTGATGTCAGTAATAATTAAAAAAATATTTAAATGACACTAAATGATTGACTTAAAGTTAATGTCACATTGAGTGACACTTTTGTTTGGAAGTCCTTTTTCAAATTTTTACTTACTTTGTTGATACACATCAGGTATACATTTTGGAGATGAAATTAATTTTAAGTAAAAGAAATACAGAAAACTAAACAGTAATTCACATTTGATTACTGAATAATTTGATTTACAATAAAATTATTCTTTATTTTTGGGCTGTAAAACCTTTATCAGCATAATTTTAGGGTAGGTTCCTGTATAAACCTTTGATAGAAACCATTGTTAACCTTTTTGGATAGGATTCCAAAAGGTACCTTTAATGGACTCTTCATTAGGATTGGGGTCAAAATTGTGCAATTACATCCCAATTTGTCCTTTTTTGTTTTAACAAAGAATTATTTTCAAAATGTTCTCGTTCAAACTTCAGTTAATTCATATAAATTTTAGAACTGATCTACTTTTGAACATGCTTCTCATCCAGAAAGGACCTTCCATATTAGCAGCTAATATATGAATCTTATTTTTTATGGCATGATATTAATTTAAGACTTCATAATTTTATGATAATTTTATTTCAAATAAATTGGATAATTATATTATATGATTACAGGAGGAACAGCAGTGGGTACAGGCCTTAACACAAGAATAGGTTTTGCTGAGAAAGTGGCCAGTAAGATAGCAGAGTACACAAGTAGGTATTAACATGAGGGAACTTTCAGGAATAGATAAATGGGGGTATAGGAATGTGCCTTTTATTTTATCTAATAATTGATATTAATTTCAATTAGAAGTTCCTTCTTTCACCACAATGTGACGTTTTGGTCAGGCATCAATATAATAGTTTGAAAGCATGTATTCTTTCACGTTGGGAATTTATAATAGTATTACATTTTTCCTTCGCATGAGTATCAAGGGAAGTGTTTCCAGAGGCGGATTTAGGGGGGGCCCAGGGGGCCCGGCCCCCTTTTTTGGGAAAAATTTGGTTGATTATATAGGGATTCACTGAAGCATGACTGGAGCGGGCCCCCTCTTAGGCAGTCAGTGGGCCCCCACTTATGAAAATTTCTGGATCTGCCACTGGTTTCCATAATATTGCAATATCTAATGAAATTTAAGTTATCTAGAAAAAAAAGTTCAGAAAAATGAAAAATTGTTTGGAATGAAATGAAAATGTTGAATTTTTTGTTAGTTCTTCATTGATCTTAATATTATTCATTATTGTCCCTCCACAGTAGTGCTCATGCCACTACTAAATTATTTTTTTTTTTACAATGTTCCAAAATATATATTTTTGTGGTGAAGTTTGATATTACACTTTTGTTAAACACAACATATTTATTTGTAACTTTGATGTTTCTTTAAGATTTTGCCAACAATTACTGATTAGTATGTTATCTTCAGATCAGAATGGCAAAATATCAGACTGTTTTTAAAACTTTGTTTTTCTTGAGACTTATTAAGTGACTATGCTAAAGTATATTGAGGATTTACAAAAAATGAGACCAAAATTGGTTCTTATCAATATGAGTCCTTTAAAGGAAAATGCCTGAATTTCTGCTTCAATCTGTCTGATCAATTTTTAGATGAACACTATAAACCATTGGTCCCTTTCAAAGCAGAAGTTGTCATTGTTTATTTCAGAAATACCATTTAGAACTTCCAGTAATAAGTTTGAATCTTTAGCAGCCCATGATGCCCTGGTTGAGGCTCATGGGGCATTAAATGTGATAGCTGTAAGTCTGATGAAGATTGCCAACGATGTTAGACTACTGTCATCAGGGCCACGGTGTGGTATAGGGGAAATCTCAATTCCAGAAAACGAACCAGGAAGTAGTATTATGCCAGGTAAATATATTATAGATCTCTGAAATAGAGGGCCTAGTCATGTTTCAGACAGATTCACTAAAGTTAAATATTTTGATTTGGATAGAGGTTCTTTCATAATGATAATGCTGTTATTCTGAGAAAAAAAATTATCAAAATAAATGGTGTTTCTAAACCAAGTTCATCTGACAATAACACAGTATCAGGATTTTTTGTTTTGTCCCTATTTCTTTCCCAATGAGATAGTTAATGCAGATAGATTGCAATGGAAAGTGTAAATGAAGTACTATGGATTATTATTATTTGTAGAATACTTACTTTCCTTGATTACTTGGGTATTGGTAAACCACGAAATTTGAATGTTCAATGAATAACAAATTTCTTTTTGCTTGTATTCAGACTCTGTCAAAACCATGAAATTAAATATCCATGAAAAATGGTGGATTTCGGCACTGTAAACATGAAGAAAACATTCAAAATACATTAATAATCGTAGAGAAATAATTTAGTTATACGATTTGCAATGAAAACGGAGAGGAGTGGAACACGAGGATTTCACAAATTCACCTATTTCAGAATCTTGGCTGCAGGTTCCAATACTGAACACATTTATTTTTCAGCATGATTATTTTGGTAGTTAAAATACATTAAAATGACTGTTGTTAAAAGTTGAAATGAAGATTTCGTGCAACAAATAGGTGACCACTGATTTGAGTTAAATTATATATAGAGAAAACGTTTGGGAGGGTCTGAAAGTCGCTGTTAGAGGCAGGTGACTGCTGAAACAAGGTGACCGTTAAGGCAGGTTTGACTGTATGCTCATGAAGTCAGATGAAATTTTTTGTATGGATTTGTTTTATAAAGAATTTTCTATCATATCATACAATAAGGATTGTTTGATGTCAAAACTGTGTTTATTGATGATATTGTCGTATATCTGTTAATTAATATTTTAGAATTGAAATTACGTGAAAAATTATTATTTTTTAGGCAAAGTGAATCCTACCCAGTGTGAAGCAGTAACCATGGTAGCAGCTCAGGTGATGGGCAACAATACAGCTATTTCAGTTGGTGGTTCGGGAGGACACTTTGAGCTCAATTGCTACAAACCCATGATGGTCAGAAATGTACTGCAGTCTGTCCGTCTGCTTGGGGATTCTTGTGTATCATTTGCCAAAAACTGTGTAGTAGGAATTAGACCAAATACTGAAAGAATTAATCAATTATTAAACGAATCTCTAATGTTAGTGACCGCTCTTAATCCTCATATAGGGTATGATAATGCTTGTAAAATTGCTAAACTTGCTCATCAAGATGGCTCAACACTTAAAGCAGCAGCTCTCAAGTTAGAGCTGTTAACACCTGAACAATTTGATCAATGGGTTCAGCCAACTGATATGCTAGGACCTAAATAAATGTTTATAATCATATCAAAGATCAAAGGCGCTCTATTTCAGGTCAGAATTTTCATATTTTTTTGTTAGATATTTCTGTCATAATATTTGTTGGGAACACAAACGTGCTTTTATTTTTATTTTTTCATAATCTGACAATAAAGTGAGAAAGTAAACTATTTTCTAACCAGATTTTATTTATTTTACACAATTTGTTGAGAGTAAAAAATGCATTTTTATTTTTCTTCACAATCTAATTGGGAAGTTACAATACCTACAAAGTAATATTAAGATCTGTTGTTTATAGTTCAAACATTACATGTCAGATTGTTGTTATTGTCAGCAAAACAGTTGTGCATTTATGAAAAAATGTTTTTGTTGTTGTTGATTATTCTTGATATTTTACATCAGGAAAAATTCTAATAAATGTTATTACTTCTATCAATTTCATTTTAATTTACCACAGTTAAGCAACAAACTGGATTTGATATACAAATGTCCATATATTTTAATGGAAATGGGGGGATATGGTGTAAAAATTCATGATATAAAGACACTACGAAATTTAACAATATCCAAAGTAGACCTCTGAGCCTTTATAGTTGTTTTTCATCTCAAAGTCACCATGAGACTTTCAAAATGCAATTGGAAGACAAATCAATAGAGAAAACCAATGGCCTAATTTATGTTAAAAAACAAATATGGCAGAAAGCAACCAACAATAACCATGGAATTCAAGGCAGATAAAGAATGTTTTGGAATAAAAAATGTTTGTGAGCTCTTGACCCTCACCTATCGCAGAGGTGTTAAAACAAAACATAAGAACAAACTAAAATTAGTTTGAAATGGCTTTACTCATCAGAAAGAACCACTAAAAAGCATAAATTATCAATCAAAGAGGACTTGCAGTTACTGAAAGCTATGTTTCCCCAGACTAAAATATCTATAAGTACACATGCAACAGAGAAAAGCATAATCTTATGCAGTACCAAAAATAAGTACATAGTATCGACAGGATGTAGGACCATAAGTTTTCATAACTGTTAAGCAATAATATTGATAAAAACAATATTCAAAGATCTTACTTCAGTGTAAAATTGATAACAATTAAGAATAAGTGTATTCAAACGATCAATAAGTTCACATCGATCATATCTAAATTTAGTCTGTATAAACAATATCACTAAAATTAGGATGTGATATCCCATTTGTAATAAGGATTTTTACAGTTACAATCAATTGTCAAACCAAATCTACGTATTTTTGAAAGAATTTAGTAAAGTTTTTAATTGTGGTAATGAAAGCCCTGACTTAATAATTTACCAGTTATACATATATTAACTTTAAAGAGGTACGGCCAATTTCCCCTGTATTTGTTTCTCTATAAAATGAGCATTATATGTACTTTAAATTCAGAAATAAGTGCAAGGTTTTTATTATTGCGAATAATGCGACTGGGTGAGAATCGCAAAAATAAGAACTCGCATTCTGATATCTGACAGATATATCTGTATGCAACTTAACCACAAATCGCAATAATCAATATAGAATTTTTGTCCATTTTGCAAAATTCGCAATAATTAATGCACGCAATAATTTCTGAATTTACAGTAAGTAACAGCCCTGAGAGCTCTTGGTCTTATCACATGGGAATTCAGACAGTATATTGCATAACCAAAAAAGGCATGCAAATAGAGCCAAGCACATCAAAATATGAAGGACCTCAAGATGCATGTACCCATATGTGCACATAGGTGGCAGCTAGCATAACAAAACCTCAAAAAATGAATTGTAATCCAAGCTATTTAGGAAATATTAAATGTATTATTTCAGGGGCTATGTTGAAAAGGTTTTCCCCTACGACAAGGACCTGGAATTTATCAAAATTTGCCTGCATCTGTTTTTTTCTTTGAAACACTTATTCAGCACTTAAAACTCAGCTTGTAATGTAGCAGCAATTATACACCTGGTACTTTGTTAAACAAAATAAGATATCATTAAAAAAGACATTGAACAAAAGAGGCCCCAATATACAGCCTTTGGGTACCCCGATTTTGATGTCAACTCAGCAATCGGATCACTTTAATGTTGTTTTCTTGTAGAGATATCGTTTTAAGTTTTAACAAAGACACTGAATGTGGAAAACCACCATATGATAATGATTTATCCAATACCATATCATAAATTAAACAATTGAAAGCATTTGATAAATCCATGAGAATTGCAGCTGTATACTGATTTTTATACGACCGCAAAAATTTTGCGGTGGTATATTGGTATCACATCGTCGTCATCGTCATCCGAAGACACATTGGTTTCCGGAAACATAAAAACTTTTGTTTAAGTGTATGGATTTCTATGAAATTTTACCATAAGGTTTATGACCACAAAAGGAAGGTTGGGATTGATTTTGGGGGTTATGGTCCTAACAGTTCAGAATGGGGCCCAAATAAGCATTTTTCTAGTTTCCAGACAATAACTTGTGAAATGGTGTATGGATCTCTCTGAAATTATACCACAAGTTACCATATCACAAAGGGATGGTAAGAATTTGCTTTAGGGGGTTATGGCGCAAACTGTTTAGGAATTGGGGCAAAAAAGGGGGAAAAACAAGGGTTTCCAGGTTAATAGACAATTACTTAAGTACAAAACATAAATTAAAAGCAGTGTAAGGGAGGTAATTCAAACACATATTGTCAAATTACCTCCCTTACACTGCTTGTAACTTATTTATTAAGAACTGTATTGTCTTTAGGCGATTAGCTGTCAATTTATTTTTAGAAGTTACTATAATGTTTAATAAAGGTAATTTAATTATAGCCATGATTATGTATGTGAAGGAATTTTATTTTTAGATATTACTATATATTTAATGTTGCTGATGGAGGCTTTTTTATTTTAAAAAAGCATTTTTCTAGTTTCCAGACAGTAACTTGTGATTAAGTGTATGGATCTCTCTAAAATTGTACTACAAGGTTCCATACTACAAAGGAAAGACTGCAATTGAGTTTGATGGTTAATGCTAAAAGGGGGATTCAAAAGTTTGGGGGGAAGGGGGGTTTCCAATTTTTTTTTTAATGGGTTCATATTTTTTTTTCAAAAATTTTCAAAATTTCAAATTTTTGAAAAGTTTCAAGAAGAAATCTTCAATTGCACAGTATTGCACATTAGATTTGTAAGATCTTTGACCACATTTATTTTGTGTCAGGCACCTATATTATGTCAAAAATTTGATCACAAACCAAGTTCAGATAGTATCAAGCTTGAATATTGTGTCCAAATTTGTCCCAACTGTGGTGGTATCGGGCTGCGCTCAGCGAAGCATTTTATCTATTTTAAGACTTTTATGATGTATTTAAATTGGTAATGATGGTTGCAAACTCCATTGGAAATTTGAATTGAGATAATGACCAAAAAAGGGGGGGGGGGGGTAAAAAAAAAAATTTTGTGGGGGGAGGCAATTCGCAACAGCATAGTGTATTGCACTAAAGCAAAAAAAAAGGGGTTAATTTTTATTTTTTTTTTAGGGGGGGGGGTCAATTCGCAACAGCATAGTGAATGGCACTAAAGCAAAAAAAAAGGGGGGTGATTTTTTTTTGGGGGGGGGGGGGTCAATTCGCAACAGCATAGTGGATTGCACAAAAGCAAAAAATTGAATATAAATTCAAATCATATAACCAATTCTAAGTTCTTTGACTACAGTTATTCTGTGTCAGAAACCTATTACGTGACAAATATTTAATTACAATCCAAATTCAGACCTGTATCAAGCGCGAATATTGTGTCCATTTTTGCCCCAACTGTTCAGGGTTGGACCTCTGCGGTCGTATCCAGCTGCGCTTGGCGAAGCAATTTATTGTCTAGGGCTTCACATCAGTCTTCCAGTAAGTAATCTGAACAGCATAGTCTGACATCCATACCATTTATAGAAAGCAAATAGATAAGGCTTCAAAATGGAAGAAAAAGAGTCATGACTGCATTTCAAACAGTTTTTAGAATAATATTGAAAAAAAATGGTAAAAATACTGACTGGATTGAAATTTGATTTAAGTAAAAGTTCGTTCTTTTAATGAAATTGTGTAACTTGGGCTTCTTTAAGTCAAATGGGAAACATGCCCATCTTTATACAGTCAAATTAATTCTACTGGTCAGCTCCAGATCTATACTTTATTTTACTATTTTTGCTGGTATACAATCTGCTCCTGTTGCTTTTTGCATTTACTTTAATGGTGTTTTCCACATTTTTTTGGTGTCATCTTTTGGAATTCAAATTTTGTATCTAGTGATTATTTTCATGAATGGCATTTATACTGCATTTCTAAAAATCAGCATTTATTGTACCTCCAGAAAAGTGTTCTAAAAGTATATTTACATAGATTTCCTTTTAACTAATTATAAGAATATGTGTTATGAGTGCCAATGAGACAACTCTACATCCAAGTCACAATTTGTAAAAGTAAACCATTATAGGTCAAAGTATGTTACTGTAAATTCAGATATTATTGCGATATTTTTATTAATGCAAATGATACGACTGGATGAGTTTTGCATTAATAAGAACTCGCATTCTGATAACTGATACATATATCTGCATGCAGATTTTTTTGAAATTGCAATAATTTAACCCACATGTTTGTCCATTTGTCAAAAATTGCAATAATAAATGCATGCAATATTTTCTGAATTTACAGTACCAAATTTCTTTGCTGTCTGAATTTTGCACATATGTGATTAATTTGTATTTTAGTGTTCTGAGAATTAATCATGTGCTTTCGGTGTATGGCTTTCCTTAAATGGAAGAAGTTTTTTCTTGGATACCATGACTTCTAAGGTGCATACTTGTCTATTTTGTTTTTAATTTTTTTTTTCATATTTCTGGTAGGTCTCATTTTCTTGTTTTGTAGTTGTTACTCCATCTACAATTTCAATCTTAATTTTTACTTAATCATTATCAAATTGATCAAGCTCAAATTCTTTGTAGATTATTTGTACATTTTTTTTTCATTTCGCTGTGACAGTGGTAGAATTTAAATCATGGCAGTCCCTAATACCAGTTTGAAAATTTAAATATTCAAACAGAATGATTTTTGTTCATCACACTGATGTCGACTAAAGGTGGTCTACATTTTTTTTTAAAACAAGTTTGATATCTAAATCAAAGATGTCACTTAAAGGTTTGTCATTTGCTAGAAGTGAACATGTCAAAATTTAAATCACCAAGAACGATGTCCTCATACGTTTTTTTAGATAAATACTCAAAATTTGTAAAATGTGTCAGAATTGAGGTTTTGGGATATCTTCAGTCCTTTATGATTTGGTGACGTGTTAAGAAATAAGCCATTCTATTGTTTGGAACTTGCAGTACACACACTTGGCTGTGATGCTATGCATTCAAGTAAAAACTGGAAGAATTTTTGAAAATGGGCCTGGTGTGAAATAAA